GAGTAGATTATTCACCATTTGATCAGCAGCAGTTAACGGGTTATGTTTCATATCTGATATCAGCATTCTTTACACATACAAACTGTAGCCCACGTGACACACATTTCGTCATTATGGTCTTAGAAAATAGTTTGAGCTTGGATATATAATCCTCCATTCTGAAACCAGGCGGGGCGAGAGGGGAAAAAATGTGTCGCTGAACTTGACTCGCTATTTGTAACCACAGACTGTAAGATTGTTGCTAGCTCGCTGTCACCTACTTTGCAGCTGCGGAGTAGCATAAGAATCTCTGGGCTCACGAGTGCCCCCTACCATGCGGCAAGAGAACTGCCTGCCTCAGCTAGTGCCTCTTGACTGCTGTTGTAAGATCGCTGAGCACACGAAACAGGTTACAAACATATACATCAGCTAAACTATGGAAAGTCTCTGGCTCTGCCTCCCCTGCCTCTCCTGACCGCCGGTACTGATCCAATGTCTTTGGCCTCCCAAGTATAGGGATATAACTACTGTAGCAAACAAAATGTTATATAACATTCTTACTTTTGCTGCTAGAAAACTTATATTATTACAGTGTACGAGTGATAAGGGCCCTTCTGTCAATGGTTGGTGTAAAGTCATATTTGAGCTGGTTCCTTTGGAAATACCTTACAACTATTCTGCATACCAAAGCAGATCAATTCTACAAAGTATGGCAGCCTTATTTGAATCATCTTGGACCTGATTTCCAGTATTATTCCAGCCTATTAATTATGTTATTGTTCAAAATAAAAAAAAACATCATACCACAGACAGAAGATTTTATAAAAAGTTCCTAAAAATATCAGTAAAACTCATCTCGGATCAATATTCGCAGGGAATAATCTGCTAAAACCCATCCAAATTGTTCATTTTACACAAACTTCCTGCAGTTATAGTGTTCACGGTTTGGGTTCTTTGTATAGTTTATCAGTTGTTCTCTCTACTGTTATTGTTATACATTGAATATAATATGAAATATCCATAAAAAATTAAAGTCAGGGGTCATCAGTTTACTTAATCATGGAAAAGGGGTCCCTTAAGGAAAAACTTTGG